GTCAACTATCTGATTTTCGTCAACCCCAAAACCCCAAAACCCCTTAACTCCAAAATAAGAGAATTAGAGAAAATTTGAATAAAATTTATAGAGTTTTTATTGAATTTTATAATCATCATCTACTTTGCAAAGAATTATTTCATGCTTAGTGTCATTATAATCTTAGGCTCAATAGCAGCTTAAATTTCTGATTGGGTGATTTTTGTAAGCATTTTAGATTCATCAATCTTGAATAGTATTCCTATTAAGCTCTTGTGCTTAAGGTGAATTAAGTGCATTAGAGATGTTTAATAATTATAACTTTCCAGTTGAGTTTTCATGGGAGAAGCTATCAGCTTAGAAATCGATTTCGTCTTCATCATCATAGGGATAATGATTTTTATTTTTATTTTCTTCATCTGGTTATATAGTTGCAAGCTATCTGATTTAATGGGTATCGTAATCTTCTATTTCATCAAGTTTAACTTCTGATGGTGCTACTTTAGCCTAAAATAGCCTTGATTCAGATTTAAATGCATATTTTCTTAGCCTTTAATCTCTTATCCGTCCTTTTAACTTCTTTTGATTAGTCTAGTAAAGATTCAGTAAAGTACCACCTCCAAAATGGTGACTAGATTGATTCTTGCTCATCTTATTTTGCTACTTTAACTTTATGTCGAAGATACCACTTTAGAGCTGGCTCTAAAGTTGAGATTGATATAAATCAATTTTATCAGCAATATTTTGTTAATCATTTGCAAATATTTGCTCTTCTGACATCATTAATTTTGCCCCTCCTGATATAATGAAGTGAGAATCATCTTGTTTGTTATCTGTAAAGAAAACTTCATTGCTTCCATATTGAAGATCATAAGACATATATCTTTTACTCAATCCAGAAGGATCATTAAGCTATCTTGCCATTTCAGATTGGAATTCCACTTCTTCCTCAATGGATTTATCAAATAATATTTTATCATTTCTTGCTTTCATCTATGCTGAACTATGTCTACTTTAACCTTGAGAAGATATTGATAAAGACGCATTATTTGGCTATATTTGAACAGCATGATTTACAAAATGTGGATTTGAAAAATTGTTGACAAATTATGAGCTTATATTCTTTTTTGTCTAAACTCTTCTTTCGATATCTTGACTGTTATAAAAGATATTTCCATTTCTATTTGGAGAATTAGGCTAGCTTCTCTTTTCTGCCTTTCTGTTGAGGTAGATATTTCTAGCTCTATCATATTCATCGATTTCATTATTATATTTTTCAGTCACTGATTAATAATGTTCCCTTCCAGAGTCAAAATTTGTTTTGGCATCGTTGTTTAGGTGCATGAAGTTGTGATTTAAATCGAATTCTTCATAAGAGTATTGATTATGAAGTCCTACATATCTACTTTTTTCATTATCTGGATAATCATCAAATTCAATGCTCAATTTTCTATCATATTTTTATGTATCTTCCTCAGTGTCATGTTTCGGTCTGAGCTTGAATTATCCTAAAATGAAATGATAAATGATTTAATTACCAATAGCTGTGTTCATTTCTTTATCCATAATTAACTTTTCGATTGAATGATTTTAGAGCTTTTAAAAGGATTTCACTCTATCAATCTATCCTTTAAATTGACTTAGTTTGACTATAATTTGTTGTAGAGCTTAGTCTTCTGGTGGTATAAATCCATTCAGATAGAGATCTCTGCTTTTATTTAAGTCTTTAATATTAGTTAATCAAGAAATAATTAATTTACATTAGCATATCTAGTCAAAACTTTTGAGGAATTCATTTTGTTTTAGAAAGAAATTGCTGATCAGTTATTCTTTCTCCTTTTTCCTCTTATTACAACATAAAAATAGAACAAAATAAACTCTAGGTGCCTTTTTCTTAAGAGTAACTCTTAGTTCTTGGAAAAATTTCTACGCCCAATAGACAAGAAACATTACATTTACAACTAATATAATGCTGAACAAAAGCAATTTTCCATCATTAGTCAAGTTAACTACAAAATTAGATATGTTTATTAATAGTATATTACATAGTTTATCTTTTCCTGCAATATAAAATAATCCACAATAAATAGTTAATGTTGATGACAAAAGCGACAATGTTTCAAGATTATTCAAATAGTAATTAGCGAATGGCATTTTAAAAGTATTGCCTACCAAGCATATAACAATAAATACTATTATCACAAGAGCCTAAATTTCAAAAATATAATCAGTAATTATTACCTGCACAACCTTTCCTACTTGAGAAAGGAAAACTTGGATGAAAATAAAGGTTATTTTTCTATACATAATAAATATTTCCCAAAAGAACGAATGCTCCTTATATCCATTGTATAAAAAGCCATATTTTTCTTTAACTTCTACAAGAGCAAGATCTTTTCTTCTAATATAAATCAATGAAAAACCATAAGCAGGAATTCCCAGACCTAAAAATTTAATAACTGAAAAATTTACTCCAAATCAAAATTGAGGGAAGTGCAACTCCATAGGCTATGAATTTGTGATTCCCTTCATAGCAAATTACTTCTAAATCTTCATACATTCTATTGGTACCATCAACATCCATGCAACTAAATGATTGATTTGAAATAAAATTACTTAAAAGCATTGAACATTTAGGTAGTAATTGTTGGATGAATGAAAAATAGCATGATAATTACTGAAGATACTATTCTACCCTGTCTTCTATCCTTTCTTTATGATAAAAGTTATTCAAAGATCTCTTTCTCATCTTCATTGAGTACTGGATCTTTCTCAGTAACTCCAGTTTACAAGTTCATTTTACTGTCTCTACTAGAATCTGATGCAATCTCTGAAAGATCTTAGGTTTTTCTGATAACAGCATTTTATCTCTTGAATTCATCTTGTTTTCTTCTTTTTTCAATTTCTAGTCTTAAGTTCCTTTCAAAAATATGCTTTTTTCTGTCTTAAATTCTAAAAATTATCGCCCAAGTTATAATGCAAACTGCAACAACTATTATTGGAGCTAAAGCAAGTATAATAGTCTTTGCATAAAATGCTCTTATGATGCCTAAATCATCATTATTTTTCCTTGTATCAATAAAACAATCAACAGATAAAAATTGAGTTGTTGCCTCAGAAACAGGTTTTACTGAATTAAAGAAATCAAGTAACTGTTCTGGCCACTCAAAATCAAATGATGCTGTAATAATCAAAAGCTAAAAGTGGTTCATTAATATTCTGATAAAAACTGATAAATAATTCTTTTATTCTAAAGCACCAGCAATTGTTGATCTGATGAGCATAACTAGACCTAAAATGATTGCTATAAAAAGAGCCAAAAGCTTGAAAGAGTTCGATGTTTGATCAGGGCAAAGTGAGCATAAATAGGTGCCAGTTCTTGAATATCCTATCTAGCAATCTGTGCAAAGGATACCTTAATACCCTGTTTAGCAAGCACCAAGTGTGTTATTTTCAGGAGGATTCATTCCACTATTTTAAATTAAAATCTAAATATACTTACAGACAGGCAATATCATTTCTACATCTTAAGAAATTGTCACTCTAACTACTACTTCTCCAATAATTTGCTTTAGGAAATACTTAATCTCGACCGAAGCAATAAGAAACATCTGCTTAGCAAGCCTTACAGCTAATGACTCCTGAAGGTGAAGTAAGCAAGTATGTGTCCTCAGCACAATCTTGGCATTTTCCAGAAGATAATAGTGCCTCTCCAGATTCACATTTTCTGAGACTGATGCTGATCTAAACGTTTGTTGATGAAGTTGTCTAAACTTAAGGTGAAGTGATACTGTTATCTGAATTTTGGGAATAATAAGCCTTATTATCTGGAATAGTGTAATCAATTCCATCAGTTGAAAAACTAAATGCTAAAAATTTTAGAAATTTTTAAATTTACTCTAAGAGGAGTTCGGTTATCCAACAAATTTGAGGGAGTCAATTTTGAAAGCCCCATTTGAGATTAAAAAGCTTGTTTCAGTTTCAAAAGTTGAGGGAAAATCTAACTTTGTATTTTAAATGACACTTATGTAGAGTTTACTATTCTGATCTATTGATACTATATTTCCATATTTATCAACCAACGCAAAATAGAGTGCATCTATTAAGTTAAAATTTATAAATTACCTAAGGTTCCTCCTGATTTCTGATCTGTCAAAGAAAAAGAAGTTTAAAGATCTCTCATTGCTAGACTTCTCAAAAGAAGCTATGAAGATTCTTGAAGGAATTTAGACTAGAGCGTATTATATTAATCTGATGTTAGTGTTGTCAGATATTTTGATACACTAGAAACTTAATCTCCATAAATTTTAGCCTTATTATTATTTCCATATGTTACCTAAGTAGAAATTTAAGTATAATTTCTTCTTACAGAAGTCATCAGAGGCTCATTATAATTCCACTAAATAGCACCACCTTTTACTTAGGCATAATTATTTTAGAAGTAGGTATTATTTAAATTTAAATTGCACTTTGTCTCTAAATATTGATTAGGAATAGAAATTACCCCCTTAACTGCAGTAGAAATTTATTGCTCCACCGATGCCGTTTGAATATGAGTCAGAATCTTCAGATGATAACAATACTGCTGAATTATTGACAAAGTTTGATTCACTACTAATTTATACTCCCTAAATATTGTCAAGGTATATTGCTCCTCCCTATAGGCTAGTGCAGTTTGTGAAATTCGATGCAGAGATTAAGTATCTTGCGTAATTACTAGTAACTTTATTATTTGAATTTTCTGTGATGTAGAGACAACCTCCTTTAGAAGTTGTGTATAGTTATTTCATCTCAGAGTGCAAAAGCTAGAACTGCTTGATATTTTCAACATGAATAGCTGAATAGTTAGAGGCCTATAACTCAGTACTGGCAGAACTATAGAATTTAGAATTTGTTATATTGACTGATTCTACAGAACTTAAGTATATAAAGTTAGTAGACTTTGTTGAACTGAATTCGCTTGAAGAGTTGATTGTTAAATTTCCAATAGAATTAGCTATGTAAATTGCACTACCTTAAATAGTTGCTGAATTTTCCTAAAAATAAGAGTTGATAATAGAGAACTGATCAAATGAGGCAGCATAAATAGCTCCTCCTTGATTTGTCACGTTGCAGTTTATAAAATAGGTATTTTCAACAGTTAGATTAGAATAGCCGAGCAAATATATGGCACCCCCATTTTTACCTAATCCTTTTGTCAATTTTGTATTATTTAAGTATATATTTGAATCTGAAATTGCATAGATAAAGTTTCCAGATATGGTCTTAGTCGAATCTGATGCTTAATAGGTGTTATAAAAGGTTGAATAATTGAAATAAACATTCGAAAGAACAACTTGAATACCTGCACAATTTTTGATAGCCTTATTATCTCTAAACGTCAAATACTCAAAGAGTACTGTTGACGATATAACTTACAGGGTATTTGAAGACCCACCAGTCTAGATATAGTTCGACCTCATAAGTGAATTCTTGATATAAGAGTTTTTAGATTAAATGAATTATCCGATCGTGTTTTGTAATGATACATAGTTCTAATAGAAACTGCATCCATATGCTTTAATGTCAGAGCTAGCAGAGACTTTGAAGACACTTATTTCAGTAGCAAAGTTGCTCAGAAATGTTGTAGAGTTTACTTCAATTGTAGAACTATCTTGAGCCTAGATTACACCAACAGTTACTGCTTAGCAAGAGTCAAATACGTTTGATACCATAGTCAGATTGCTATTCTTAAGCAAGATTACTCCAGCTAAATATGAACTAATATCTTAAAATGTTGACTTAGTAATGCTAGCGGTTGATAGCGAATCTAACTAAATAAAAGCTCCGCTATATCTGAAATGAATATTCTTCACAACGCATTCTTAAATGTTAATATTTTTTTGATTAGAGGCTACTATTAACGATTTTGCTGAGTCTTTATAATATTCAGTTGGAGAGCTTAATAAGATATCATTGATATCATCGAAATCATATGTTGTATTTGAAAAAGTACTCTTTGTTACCTAATTATATTTAAGTTAAATCTAAATTTACATTGAAGTATTAAACCATGTTATCCGCCAGATAAAAGGTTTAGGCAGATGAACCAGTGTTACTGAAGAAAGTACAATCATAAAACTCTAAGTAATTGATAATTTCATCAGCATTAATAAGTCCATCTATAAAAATAATATGAACCTAAGAATATTACAATCAGCATAATTTGAGATGAAAGAACAACCTGTGAATTAAACTTTTGCATTCATCTCTCTGTTTTAATTTGTCATGATTGCTGATTATACACCCTTGTTATAGCTAAACTTACAATCAGAGAAAACAAAAGAATAGTAGTCCAAAAATTTATCAATTGATTAAGTAGAAATGTCGAATAATGGGGTCTCTTCTGCCTCATTACTTGAGAATTCTGAATTTTATATTTTGAATTAGCTATAATTTGATAGCTTGATTATCAGTTTAAAAATTGATGAAGTCTATTTTTCTTTTATATCTTATTGAGAAACCTTGGTTACAGAACTGAAATATCCTCCGTTATTTGAAACAGTGACATTTGAAATAGTAAGATTATTAGCTGTTAAAGAAAAATATTGCTATCCATTTTATGCAAAATTATTACTTAGAACAATATTCTAAAGAGATACATTTACCCCATCATCTGTTCGCTGTGTTTCATATTCTAATATTTACGCCAAAATAGATGTTGAAGTTTGTTCGTTGTACGCATAATTGTTTTTTACATAAGCATTTCTGAAATTGAGATTTGCTAGATTGTTATTTTTAAGGTAAAAGAAAGGTGAGCCAAATCCATAAGAATCTTTACTTTTGTACTAATATTTTTTATCTGTTGGATCCCAAGAATATTTTGAGATAGTTACATCATTGAACATTCCAACAATATTTTAAAAGGTGTTATATGTTTTAGTACTTGTGTCATCACCAATTGTTAGATTCCCATAATAGTTTTAGAAATAAGCAATAAGTGCTTACTAATTTTCACCAAATGAATTATATCTATCTATGTTCCACACATTTTTGAAAGTTGAGTTTTTAAGTGTAAATGAAACCATTTATTAGATGCAAAAGATGCTTGAGCCCAGTTGAACTAAGTAGAAGTTATCTCGATTATCTGGTTCACTCAGTTTCTCTTTTTAACCTACAGAGTAAGCACCTCTACCTACTTAGACTAGAGACAAATCTAACTACTCTTAAGTAAATCCACCAATGTTTTCGAATGATTCAGATTCAATAGTCACTGCCATGACCCACATAAGATTTATTAAGCTACCTAGATAAGTATTTGATGTCTAATCGTCCTTATAAGTGACTCCAATATAGGAATCTGTGTAGCTATTTAGTTTGAACTATGATTAATATTTGCTAACTGTAATTGAATCATCCTTAACAAGAGTAACTTTGTTGTAAACAGAAAGACTAAGACTACCTTAAGTTGATAGACTGGTAAGGTTAGCAGCAAAATTTTTGAATTTTTCATAGAACTGATTTTAGTTTGTTCCATATTTATCATAGATCGATTCGTATGAGGTAATACCCGAATTCATATTCTCTTTTGTATTTCTGCATCCTAGAAAAATTAATCCATTATCCACCATTTCAAATCCAGTTATTCCTTGAAATTTGTTATTATATATTAGAGTCCCTCCTCCACATTATAGTACTTCAGAAGGTGCTGAAGTCTCTGATAATTCATTCCTTTTTTCTACGTGTAATATGCTGGAACCAGACATCCCAACAATATTGCAAAAAGTATTGTTTTCTAAGATAGTATAAACTTATACAGAGCCTTGTAAAGCTTGTATCCTTATTAATGAATTTGAGATATGAATATTTGTGAAATTATTTTATCTCAAGTAGATTGTTCCTTAAGTTTGATTTATAATTGTAAATAGATTTTACATTTGCAAGTAGTTCAAATCATCCAGTATTAAGTTAGGATAGTTATCTGTCTTTTGTAGAGTAGCTTTCGCACTTATTGTCTTATTAAGGTTATTTGGAGTAGAAAAAGGTTATATGATTTCAGAAAAGGAATTCTGATAAACATAAATACTTCCTCCGAAATTTTTCAATGAAATGATAAGTCCATGATATCTAGTTTTATAGTCTACTGCATCTATATAGGACTCAGTAGTTTTAAGTGCATGAAAATTTTTAAATGTGTTGCTTGACAGTATAATTTCAGAGCTATCTGTTCCAGTGTATGCCTTGTTAAAATATAGATCTTAATATTCCTCAATTGTGTAGTTAAATACTGCTAGGTAGTATTATGCCTAGGATAAAGTTTAGGTTAATTAATCTGAACCAGGTATACTATTAACCAAGTCATTTGAGTAAATAGCTCCGCAAATACTGAAACTCTGAAAAGTTGAATCCTATACGAGAATTTTGAATGGAGCATTTTTTGGTGTTTTTATCAGTGTCCCCAGCTCATAGAACATGTTCTGAAATATGGCATTCTAAAAGTATTTTGGTAATATGTAATAATCTTACTTTTATTATAATTGTTTGCTTTTCAATAGATGATTCCTTATGATTTATCATATTAAAAAGTCCGTTGAATTTTCTAATTGCACAAGTTTGGTTCCTAGAGATTAAAATGATATATTTATAAATTTATACTTGTAATAGTTTAAGGATGATGACTGTACTGACCCACAGTTCAAAACTTTACTAATACCAGAATATGTATAAGTGCAGCAAGGCAAAGCCTAATTCAAACAAGTGGCTGCTTAACCTTAGCTAGAAGTAACTATTTTTAGAAGATTTAGGTAATTTTATATTTAATTACATGGTAGAACTGAGTCTATTGAATCAAAAATTAAATTGCTGAATTCAAGACTTGATGGAACTTGAATTGAAAACATACCTCCAACTTTATTGTATATAACTGGTCTTACAGTATTAGTGCTCCTGTATAAAAGTTAAATATAAGGAAAATTTTACGTAATTATAAGGGTAAAATCTGGACTCACAAAATCCTTGTAATTTTAATTGTAATATACTTTCTATAGATCTTTTTTCATTATAGAATAATTTTCAGGATCATTAAGATAAATTGTCACTATCATCCCTGTATATGGAGCAGCTAACTCATAGGCTCTATTAAGTGCCTCTGGTATATTGTCAAATGTATATACATTTGCATAGCTTTTATTGATAACATAAGTATCAGTTTAATCCCTTGTACTAGTGACATATAATGCTTGGTTTTTTATATCATTAGATACAGCCTTCTTAGTGGAGCAATATCCAGATTGAGTGTTAATTTATGTGATTATAAGATACTATCCTTTCTTACAGCTGGTGCAATTTTAATCTCCCGAATCTATACACATATAGCAAGTATCATGACATTTTGTGCATGTAGCAGCTGTAGGTTGATTTGTTTGACTACTATGAATCATTTATGTAAAATAAGATGTTGGACACCTCAGATAGCATTTATCCTAATAAAGTGAGTACCCTTGATTGCAAAACTAGCCTAATGACTAAGTTTAGAAATATTTAATTACATTTTGTTGAATCTGTCGACAAACATTATTTGCAATAATTTACAGAGCAATTATAGTTGTATAAAGAGCCTATTGAATTATATTAACAGAAGATTTTACATGAAGATTTAGCTCCTGGACCAGAAGGACTATCAGAAAATGTTTAAGTGCTCGCATTGTAGGATGACCAACAAGTATTGCAAGTATAAGAAGGAGTTTACTATTCACCACTCTATTATTATTAAGAGCAAGTTTGACAAAATGATTTCATAATTAGATAATTAGATGCTAAGCAACTTTTAGTGAAATCTATTAAGGATTTTGTCAGAAATGAATAATATGATAGTTGAAAATTTACAGCATGAAGAATATTTAGCAGCTAGCGATGCATTTAAAGATAATTCGTTATTTTAACATTAGTAGCACAGTTAGTAATTGTTGCCACTTAAAAAGTTCTGATCGCTTAAATAGGTAGAGTTAATCTGAGAAATGAAAGAAGCGCTAGACTTTATATAATGAATATTTGCTAAAAATAGATTAATTAACAACTTTAAATATTCTATTTTTAACCTTACTTTCTTCTAGTGAGCACTACCTGCAGCCCTGGTAAAAGTCTCCGTATTTACAGTAGTAGCCCAAGAATTCACACATTTGAGTTACCGGATTATTGACCAAATTCTAGCTTATCAAGGTGCAGTCAGGTACGCAAACATTCATAAATACAGTTTGAGTCATTGATTAACCATTTTGCTATTTAATTGAATAAGATCTTGTGTAATTATATTTATAGAGTCCTTCTTCGCATTCATTGCATGTTAAAGCTGAATTACTCTACCAATTCTGCTAATTATTAGGTTGGGTCACTAGAGATGAGGTGTAGGAGCATGATCTACATCCTGGGTAAACACTTTGGCAAGCTTTAAAATAATTTAAATAATGGAGATATGATACCAAAGCAACTTGTGATAGAAGTCTCCCCCTACTGTTGAGTATAGGATATTTCATTTGTTCCACCTATTGATAACCTGAGTTAAAGTAAGCAATTACATGAGGCTACAGCATTTGGTTAGGATTTTATCATCAGTATCATTATGAAAATCCATAATAGACAAGTAGAAGAGAGAAATTTCGAAACATAACTTAAGGTATGATATTTTCCCATTAATTAAAACTTACTTATTATAAATTTAAATTTATTTTCAAATCAAAATATACCATTAAATTATGCTATTATGGGGTTTTGGGGTTTTGGGGTTTTGGGG